GTCAAGGGCAACAACGTTTACTGCCTGGACCGCGAGTGCCGGCCCCGCGTGCTCACCATCGACCCCACCGAGTTCCGCTTCAAACTCGCCCTCATCAACAGGAAATACGACGAGGTCGGGAAATCAACCTGGGAAGGGGGGAAAATATGGGAATGGGGAAAATGGGGGGAAAAATGGGATTGGAAATGGTGGATCAAAATTGGGAGTGCTCACCATCGACCCCACCGAGTTCCGCTTCAAACTCGCCCTCGTCAACAGGAAATACGACGAGGTTGGGAAATCAACCTGGGAATGGGGGAAAATCTGGGAATGGGGGGAAAAATGGGATTGGGAATGGTGGGTCATAATTGGGAGTGCTCACCATCGACCCCACCGAGTTCCGCTTCAAACTCGCCCTCATCAACCGGAAATACGACGAGGTCGGGAAATCCGGGAGTGCAGGGAAATCTGGGAATGGGGGGAAAAATGGGATTGGAAATGGTGGAGAAATGGGGGAAAATGGGGGAAAATGGGGTTGGGAATGGTGGATCAAAATTGGGAGTGCTCAGCATCGACCCCTCCAAGTTCCGCTTCAAACTCGCCCTCATCAACAGGAAATACGACGAGGTCGGGAAATAAACCTGGGAATGGGGGAAAATCTGGGAATGGGGGGGAAAACGGGGTTTGGAATGAGGGAACAGTGGGGTTGGGAATGGTGGATCAAAGTTGGGAGTGCTCACCATTGACCCCACCGAGTTCCGCTTCAAACTCGCCCTCGTCAACAGGAAATACGACGAGGTCGGGAAATAAACTTGGGAATGGGGGAAAACCTGGGAATGGGGGGAAAAATGGGATTGGGAATGGTGGAGAAATGGGGGAAAATGGGGTTGGGAATGGTGGATCAAAATTGGGAGTGCTCAGCATCGACCCCTCCGAGTTCAGGTTCAAACTCGCCCTCATCAACCGGAAATACGACGAGGTTGGGAAATAAACCTGGGAATGGGAGAAAATCTGGGAATGGGGAAAATGGGGGGAAAAATGGGATTGGGATTGGTGGAGAAATGGGGGAAAATGGGGTTGGGAACGGTGAATCAAAATTGGGAGTGCTCAGCATCGACCCCACCGAGTTCAGGTTCAAACTCGCCCTCATCAACAGGAAATACGACGAGGTCGGGAAATCTGGGAATGAGGGAAAACGGGGTAAAATGGGGTTGGGAGTTGGGGAAAATTTTGAATTTGGGAGTAGGGTACTGGAGCATTTGGGAGAAGGGACTGGTAAAACCTTTCCTGAGGATAGGAAGAATTTTTCCCACGGGTTTTGGGAAGATCCTTTCCCAGGGATGGAAGAGCTTTTCCCAAGGGGTTGTTGGGAAGATCCTTCCCCAGATATTTTGGGAAGGGCCTTTCCTGAGGGATTTTCTGGAGGAGCCTTTCCCAAGGGATGGAAAATCCTTTCCTGAAGGTTTTTGGGAGGAGCTTTTCCTGAGGGATTTTGGGAAGAGCCTTTCCCAGGGATGGAAGGTCCTTTCCCCGGGGATGGAAGATCCTTTCCCAAAAGATTTTGGGAAGAGCTTCTCCCGGGGATGGAAGGTCCTTTTCCCGGGGATGGAACATCCTTTCCTGAGGGATTTTGGGAGGAGCTTTTTCCATGGGATTTTGGGAAGAGCCTTTCCTGAGAACAGGAAAAACCTTTCCAAAGGGATTTTGGGAAGGGCGTTTCCTGAAGGATTTTTGGGAAGAGCCTTTCCCAAGGGATGGAAAATCCTTTCCTGAGGGTTTTGGGAGAGTTTTTCCCAAGGGATTTTTGGGAAGAGCCCTTCCCCAGGGATGGAAAATCCTTTCCTGAAGGTTTTGGGAGAGTTTTTCCCGAAGGATTTTTGGGAAGAGCCTTTCCCAGGGATGGAATATCCTTTCTCAAGGATTTTTGGGAAGAGCCTTTCGCGGGGATGGAAAATCCTTTCCTGAAGGTTTTTGGGAAGAGCTTTTCCTGAGAGATTTTGGGAAGAGCCTTTCCCAGGGATGGAAAATCCTTTCTCAAGGATTTTTGGGAAGATCCTTTCCCGAGGGATTTGGGGAGATCCTTTCCCTATTTTGGGAAGAGCCTTTCCCTATGGTTTTGGGAAGAGCCTTTCCCGGGGATGGAAAATCCTTTCCTGAGGGATTTTGGGAGGAGCTTTTCCCACGGGATTTTGGGAAGAGCCTTTCCTGAGAACAGGAAAAACCTTTCCCGAGGGATTTTGGGAAGAGCCTATCTCAGGGATGGAAAATCCTTTCCCTGAAGGTTTTTGGGAAGATCCTTTCCCGAGGGATTTGGGGAGATCCTTTCCCTATGGTTTTGGGAAGAGCCTTTCCCGGGGATGGAAAATCCTTTCCTGAGGGTTTTTGGGAGAGTTTTTCCCGCAGGATTTTGGGAAGAGCCTTTCCTTTTTTTTTTTCCAAATTCCTTTCCCAAGGGATTTTGGGAAGGGCGTTTCCCAAAGGATTTTTGGGAAGAGCCTTTCCCAAGGGATGGAAAATCCTTTCCTGAAGGTTTTGGGAGAGTTTTTCCCAAGGGATTTTGGAAAGAGCCTTTCCTGAGAACAGGAAAAACCTTTCCCGAGGGATTTTGGGAAGAGCCTTTCCCAGGGATGGAAGGTCCTTTTCCCAGGGATGGAATATCCTTTCCTGAGGGATTTTGGGAGGAGCTTTTCCCACGGGATTTTGGGAAGGGCGTTTCCCGATGGATTTTTGGGAAGAGCCCTTCCCAGGGATGGAAAATCCTTTCCTGAAGGTTTTGGGAGAGCTTTTCCCAAAGGATTTTTGGGAAGAGCCCCTCCCGAGGGATTGGTGCCGCCCCGCAGGTGCTGCACATGGTGCGCAACGCCAAGCTGGTGGGCCAGTCCATCATCGCCTACCTGCAGCGCAAGGGCTACCCCGAGGTGGCGCTGCACTTCGTCAAGGACGAGAAAACGCGCTTCAGCCTGGCCCTCGAGTGCGGCAACATCGAGGTGACCTCAGTGGTTGGGGCGTTTTGGGGTGTTTTGGGGTGTTTGGGATGTTTTAGGAAAACGCGCTTCAGCCTGGCCCTCGAGTGCGGCAACATCGAGGTGACCTCAGTGGTTGGGACATTCCGGGGCGTTTTGGGGTGTTTGGGATGTTTTGGGGTGTTTGGGGGTGTTTTGGGGTGTTTTGGGGTGTTTTGGGAAAACGCGCTTCAGCCTGGCCCTGGAGTGCGGCAACATTGAGGTGATCATCCCTGGAGAGCTCCTAATCCCAGAATTCCAGAATCCCTGCTCCCATTCCCAATCCCTGCTCCCATTCCCAATCCCATTTCCCATTCCCAACCCCATTCCCCGTTCTCAACCCCGTTCCTAATCCCATTAACCCCTAAATTCCCTGTCACAGATCGCCCTGGAAGCCAAGGCTTTGGATGACAAGGGCTGACAGGGAAGGTGGCTCTGCTGCCATCCCTGCTCCTAATCCCAGAATTCCAGAATCCCTGCTCCCATTCCCCATTCCCAATCCCTCTATCCCCATTCCTCATTCCCATTCCCCATTCCCAACCCCATTCCCAATCCCATTAACCCCNAATTCCACTCTTTTTTTGGGGAAAAAAATTCCTTAAATTCCATGTTTTTGAGGGAGGGGAAATCCCTCAAATTCCACATTTTTTGGGGAAAAAAATCCCTCAAATTCCACTCTTTTTGGGGGGAAAAAAATTCCTCAAATTCCACGTTTTTGAGGGGGGAAAATCCCTGAAATTCCACTTTTTTTTTGGGAAAAAAAACCCCCCACAAATCCCATCAATCCCATCAATCCCATCCCAGTCCTGTCCTATAAATCCCATCCTTTAAATCCCATTTTATAAATCTCATCCCACCCCATAAATCCCATCAATTCCATAAATCCCATCCCAATCCTATCATTTAAATCCCATTCCCTAAATCCCATTCCAGTCCCATCCCATAAATCCCAATCCCAATCTATAATCCCAATCCCATCCTATAAATCACATTCCAATCCCATCCTATAATTTCCATTTTATGGATCTCATCCCACCCCAAAAACCCCATAAATTCCATTGCAATCCCATTCTATAATTCCCATTTTATAAATCTCATCCCACCCCATAAATCCCATCAATCCCATCCCAATCCCTTTCTTTCAATCCCATCCCATAAATCTCATCCTATAAATCCCATTTTATAAATCTCATCCTGTCCCATCAATCCCATCCCAATCCTATCATTTAAATCCCATCGTCTAAATCTCGTTCCATTCCCATAAATCCCAATCCCATTCTATAATCCCAATCCCATCCCATAAATCACATTTCAATCCCATCCTGTAATTCCCATTTTATGGATCTCATCCCACCCCATCAATCCCATTAATCCCAATCCAATCCCATCCCATAAATCTCATCCCAATCCCATCCCATCAATCCCATCCTATAAATCCCATTTTATAAATTTCATCCCACCCCATCAATACCATCCCAATCCTATTATTTAAATCCCATCCCCTAAATCTCGTCCCATTCCCATTCCCATAAATCCCAATCCCATTCTATAATCCCAACCCCTTCCCATAAATCACATTTCAATCCCCATCCTATAATTCCCATTTTATGGATCTCATCCCACCCCACAAATCCCATAAATCCCAATCCAATCCCATCCCATAAATCTCATCCCAATCCCATCCCATCAATCCCATCAATCCCATCCCATAAATCTCATCCTATAAATCCCATTTTATAAATTTCATCCCACCCCATCAATNCCAAATAAAGCTGGGATTGGGATAATGAGGATTTGGATAATGGGGATTGGGATCCGGGGGGAGTGATCCCAAATAAAGCTGGGATTGGGATAATGGGGATTGGGATAATGGGGATTGGATCCAGGGTGAGTGATCCCAAATAAAGCTGGAATTGGGATAATGGGGATTTGGATAATGGGGATTTGGATAATGGGGATGGGATCCAGAGGGACCTGATCCCAAAAAAGGGCTGGGATTGGGATAATGGGCACTGGGATAATGGGGATTGGGATAATGGAGATTTGATCCAGGGGGTTGATCCCAAATAAAGCTGAGATTGGGATAATGGGCACTGGGATAATGGGGATTGGATCCAGAGGGACCTGATCCTAAAAAAAGGGCTGGGATTGGGATAATGGGGATTGGGATCCAGGGGGAGTGATCTCAAATAAAGCTGGGATTGGGATAATGGGCACTGGGATAATGGGGATTGGATCCAAGGGGGCCCAATCCCAAAAAAAAAGAGTTGGGAAAATGAGAGATTGGGATAAAGGGGGGATTGGATCCAAGGGGACCTGATCCCAAAAAAGGGCTGGGATTGGGATAAAGGGGGATCAGATCCAGGGGAACCTGATCCCAAAAAAAGCTGGGGTTGGGATAATGGGATGGGATCCAGGGGGAGTGATCCTGAAAAAAGGGCTGGGATTGGGATAATGAGGATTTGGATAATGGGGATTGGGATCCAAGGGGGCCCAATCCCAAATAAAAAGGGTTGGGAAAAACGGGAGATTGGGATAAAGGGGGATGAGATCCAGAGGGGGCTGATCCCAAATAAAACTGGGATTGGGATAACCGGGATTTGGATCCAGAGGGACCTGATCCCAATGGGAAAAGGGCTGGGAAATTGAGGTAACAGGGATTGGATTCAGAGGAACCTGATCCCAAATAAAAAGGGCTGGGAAATTGGGATAATGGGAGATCAGATCCAGGGGAACCTGATCCCAAATAAAAAGGGCTGGGAAATTNTTTTCCAGGGATTTATGGAATATTTCCCTGCTGGGGATGGATTTGGAGGGAAAATAAAATAAAATAAAATAAAAAAATGGATTTTTTTGGGAAGTTTTTCCAGCTGGGATATTGGGAAGATCAATCAAATGCCTGGAATTGATGGAGGAGCAGCTGGGGCCCAAAAAAATGAGGGAAAAAAAGGAAAATTCTGCAGCCAAAGGAGAGAAAAGGACTCGGGGAGGGTTTGGGGGCAAAACCCTCAAATCCCTGAGGTTTTGGGGAAAATCCTTTAAATCCCTGAGATTTTGGGGAAAAAATCCCTCAAATTCCACATTTTTTGGGGGGAAAATATCCCTCAAATTCCACTTTTTTGGGGGGAAAAATCCCTCAAAATCCACATTTTTTGGGGGAAAAAATCCTTCAAATTTCACGTTTTTGAGGGGGGAAAATATCCCTCAAATTCCACATTTTTTGGAGGAAAAAATGCCTCAAATTCCACTCTTCTTTTGGGGAAAAAAAAATTCCTCAAATTCCATGTTTTTGAGGGGGGAAAATCCCTGAAATTCCACTCTTTTTTTGGGGAAAAAAATTCCTTAAATTCCATGTTTTTGAGGGAGGGGAAATCCCTCAAATTCCACATTTTTTGGGGAAAAAAATCCCTCAAATTCCACTCTTTTTGGGGGGAAAAAAATTCCTCAAATTCCACGTTTTTGAGGGGGGAAAATCCCTGAAATTCCACTTTTTTTTTGGGAAAAAAAAAACCCCCCACAAATCCCATCAATCCCATCAATCCCATCCCAGTCCTGTCCTATAAATCCCATCCTTTAAATCCCATTTTATAAATTTCATCCTATGCCACAAATCCCATCAATCCCACCCCAATCCTATTATTTAAATCCCATCCCCTGAATCTCATTCCAGTCCCATCCCATAAATCCAAATCCCATCCCATAAATCTCATTCTAATCCCCATCCTATAATTCCCATTTTATGGATCTCATCCCACCCCAAAAATCCCATCAATCCCATCAATCCCATCCCAGTCCTGTCCTTTAAATCCCATTTTATAAATCTCATTCTATCCCACAAATCCTATCAATCCCATCTCAATCCTATTATTTAAATCCCATCTCCTAAATCTCATTCCATTCCCGTTCCCATAAATCCCAATCTCATCCCATAAATCCATTCCAATCCCATCCTATAATTCCCATTTTATAAATCTCATCCCACCCCACAAATCCCATAAATCCCAATCCAATCCCATCCCATAAATCTCATTCCAATCCCATCCCATCAATCCCATCAATCCCATCCCATAAATCTCATCCTTTAAATCCCATTTTATAAATTTCATCCCACCCGATCAATCCCATCCCAATCCTATTGTTTAAATCCCATCCCCTAAATCTCATTCCAGTCCCATCCCATAAATCCCAATCCCAATCTATAATCCCAATCCCATCCTATAAATCACATTTCAATCCCCATCCTATAATTCCCATTTTATGGATCTCATCCTACCCCACAAATCCCATAAATCCCAATCCAATCCCATCCCATAAATCTCATCCCAATCCCATCCCATCAATCCCATCCTATAAATCCCATCCTTTAAATCCCATTTTACAAATCTCATCCTATCCCATAAATCCCATCAATCCCATCCCAATCCTATCATTTAAATCCCATCCCCTAAATCTCATTCCAGTCCCATCCCATAAATCCCAATCCCATTCCCATAAATCCCATTCCAATCCCATCCTATAATTCCCATTTTGTGGATCTCATCCCGCCCCACAAATCCCATAAATCCCAATCCAATCCCATCCCATAAATCTCATCCCAATCCCATCCCATCAATCCCATCAATCCCATCCCATAAATCTCATCCTATAAATCCCATTTTATAAATTTCATCCCACCCCATCAATCCCATCCCAATCCTATTATTTAAATCCCATCCCCCAAATCTCGTTCCATTCCCATAAATCCCAATCCCATTCTATAATCCCATAAATCCCATCCCATAAATCCCATTCCAATCCCATCCTATAATTCCCAATTTATAAATCTCATCCCACCCCATAAATCCCATCAATCCCATCAATCCCATCCCAATCCTATCATTTAAATCCCGTCCCTCAAATGTCGTTCCATTCCCATAAATCCCAATCCCATCCTATAAATTCCATTCCAATCCCATCCTATAATTTCTATTTTATGGATCTCATCC